CCCGTCTCAGGAGTCTGGACACTCGCTGGCACCGCTGGCGTCCGGCTGGACCTCGGCGTTTGCGCAGCTCGCAGCAGCGTTGCCTGAGCCGACCTGTCGCACGTGGATTTGCACGTGTGCACAACTGGAGTAATCTGGAGGGGCGCAGCCCTGGGACCCAGCACGGCTGCAGTGCACGGGAATCACCTCTGGGCACGGGCGGACTGCTGCCAGCCGGGGAGAGGGAGGGGGACAGTGATTAGCCGGACTCACTCTCACGAGGAGCGAGGGCAGCAGATACCCAGCCCGTCCTCGTGACATTCACAGGGCGAGATGGGTCGGGTGCTCGCCACGCGGTAGCCCTGCGGGGTTCCCCTCCGGCAGTTTTCAGCCTGGGGCCAGCAGGCTGCTGGAGCTGCACAGACTGTCTAAGCTTTCCGCAGGGATCTACACCTCCACTCAAAGCCGGCACGTGGGGTGTGGCACTGATGGATCTTCCCATGTGTCCCTGAAGGACAAAGGGGTCACGGCTGGAGCGCAGACTGCATCCCCCCGCGGGTAAAACCCATCGCACCGCTCTCCAGCCGAATGGTCCGACACTGAGCTGGGGTCTCCCGAGTCCAGGGGCTGCCCGAAGAGCACAAGCCGGGTGGTTTTCATTGCTCCCGCCTGGCAGCGGAGGCCTGGGGGCGTTGCACAGGGACGGTGGGGGCTAGAGGCGGGGGTGTTCCCACCAACAGAGGGGGTGGGAATTGCGATAGAAACCAGGTGTTACCAGCAGCCTGTCTCCCCGAAACAGGAGATGCACTTGGCTGTTCCCTGCACTCCGCCCCGGCCTGCGCAGAGTGTTCCTGCTGCTCGCACACACTGTGCCAGCGCCGGGGCTGAGCACAGGTGCAGAGGGTGCCGCCGAGTCTCATGCAGCCGGCTGGCACGCCGCCCAGGCCCTGTGCAGGCCTTGCCGGGCTCTGAGCTGTGAAATGGAAATGCTGGGACAAGAGGCGTCCTGGCATTTTAGCCGGGATGTCGACACTCCTGCCTCAGAGCTCCAGAGGAACTGGCTGGGAATCGGATAACTCGCTAGTGCGGGTCTGTTGCCCCTGCATTCGGTACGGGCTCCCCTCCGAGACGGGCAGTGCGCCGCTGGTCCCATCCAGCCAGGCCATCCCCGCGCCCCAGGTGTGTACTAACCTCTGTCTTCCGCAGGTAGATGGAAGATCTGGAGACTGACTTACTCCAGACACGCAAAGCGCGTAGGCTAGAGCACATGGTAGCGAGATGGCTCCACCGGTCTCGGGAGAGCATGTCCAGGTAAGTACGTTTTCCGGAACAGGAGCTTTGCTACTCGGGCGCTGGCGAGCTGCTTTCCAGCCAGCGAGGGCCGGGCTGAGATCCCCTTGCTGTGCCCATTCCTGTGCGATTGCAGGGGCAGGTCTGGTACAAAGTAGCATCGGGCGCAGTGCGTATCCTACCTTACAGCGTCTCTGCTCTCACCTCCGCTTCCTTCTCCACTGCTAGCCCGGTGTGCCACGCCTCCTGGGGCACTCCCCAGAGCGCTGGGCCGCGAATGGGTCTGTGGGGAAAGTGTGTTTGGGGGCAAACTGAAAATGAAACGTTTCCGGGATTTGGGGCGAATCAGGAGCTGAGATTTTCCCCGACACGTCACACGAAACACACTGGTTAAGATGCAGCACAAAGCAAGTTTATTAACTAGGGACTCGTGGATGTTCAGTGTGCGACCGCAAACAGATCAAAGCGGAGTCCCTAGCTAATCCACACACATGCAAACTAAGCCTAAGCTAGCAGGCAGGTAACAGAGAGGTAGCCGGGTTAGTCTGCTCTTGGTAAAACAGAAGGAAAAACTAGGCAGCACTTTAAGGACTAACAAGACCGTTTATTAGCGATGAGCTTTCGTGGGCATCTGAGGAAGTGGGTCTGCCCCACAAGCTCATCACCTAAGAAACCGTCTTGTTACTCTTGAAAGTGCTGCCTAGTTTTTCCTTTTGTTCTAGCAGCGCAGACCTTAGAAATCCCTGTAGCGGGGACCCCCGTCCAGCCCCCCGTCCAGCCCTTCTTCCGCGGGTGTTCTCGTGGCTGGGGGTGAGGCCAAGAGACGGGCATCTGAGGAAGTGGGTCTGCCCCACAAGCTCATCACCTAAGAAACCGTCTTGTTACTCTTGAAAGTGCTGCCTAGTTTTTCCTTTTGTTCTAGCAGCGCAGACCTTAGAAATCCCTGTAGCGGGGACCCCCGTCCAGCCCCCCGTCCAGCCCTTCTTCCGCGGGTGTTCTCGTGGCTGGGGGTGAGGCCAAGAGACGCTCCCAGACGATGGGAGCCCTGCTTCTTCAGGCGGTGCCCAACCCGGCTCGTGGGGACACGCCGGTTCCCGATGCGGAGACACCCAGCCGTTCCCCGCAGCCCGGCGGCGTGCTCTCCCGCTGGCTCTGGGAGGCGCCCTCGGCTGCCCGGCCAGGAAGCCTGGCTGAGGGTGTTGCACGGAGCTGGGGCTCTTACAGAGCGGTCCTTGGTCGGGAGCCGTCAGGCCGGCCCCTGCGCGCCAGCCGGAACTTCCCAACGGCCCCCCGTGCGCCACGCTCGGGGCA